CGCTCAGGCCGCTGCCAGACTGCAGCTCCATAAGTCTCCTTTTTTGGTATTTTCACGCAAATTCTTCTGCTAGTTGGGGTTTAGTCCACTTTTGTATCCTTCCCTTCAAGGCTCAAGGGTCCAAGATTATCTTCTGTGTCTGTGTTAATTGGTTTCCCTTTTCTTTGTTAAAGAGGGTCCATGCAGTTCTTCTGCATAGTCCACCATCTTGCCGGTATCCAAAGATGTATGGTATTTCTTTAGATTTTTTAATTTTATTCCAAATTTTTCTACCACTCTATCTAGTATCTCCAATTTTTATTACTTTCCCAGTAGTTGACAGTGATAGCCTTGACAGTGGTAGCCAGGCACCATCTAGTTCTTCTGGTCTCAGGGTCATGTAGGCAGTGGTTTCCATGCTCCGTCAGTCCCTTGGATCTTTCCATGCATCTTTGATTTTCTTCATTCTTCTTTGCTCCTGACAAGGAGAGGCCAATTTTTGCATCTTACATGGCCCTTTGCAAGCTTTTAAGATCCCAGTTGCTACTCACCAAAGTAAAATATAAAACAATGCTTTTGTGTAGTGTGTTATGCCAATTGAGCTTGATAATCCCCCACAATCATGGTACCAAGCCCACGGGTCCAGTGACTCATTCCCTCAAGGTGTTTAGCTGTGGTTAAGAAGCTAGCATAATTTTGCCCATTAGCTCTATTATATGTGTGGACATTCTCACAGCACACGCAGATATATATATATATATATAAATATATAAATATCTGCCAAATCTATATATGGTCATGGGTATATTCCCTTTCACCTACCCATACCTGATCATTTTGCCTGTCTCCCTATGTGTCCACCCGTAGATTAATGTCTATTATTACTGATAATGAAGAATTGTCTATGTAGTAGTATTTAACTTTGTTGTCTGTACCTCTTGTGTACTGTGTCTTCCTTTTCCTTAGTGTTATTGAGCTGGTCACTTCCTTTTGTTATATGACCTTTCCCAAATCAAGATGTGTCTTTTACTTAGCTAGCAATTTTCCATCCCCTCCCCCCTTTGCCTCTCCCTCATAACCAACAAAGAAAGTTTCCTTCTATGTGTAAATATTTCCTCAACTTTTTACAATAGTGGACTCATAAGATGTTTATCCTTCTGTGATTGACATATTTCACTCAGCAGAGTTCATCCATGTTATGAAGTGTTTTTGTGGACTCTTCCTAATTTCTTGGTGTTACATAGTATTCTGTTGTGTGCATGTACCATAGTTTGGTTATTCATTCATCCTTTATGGGCACTTAGGCTGTTTCCATCTCTTTGCTGTTGTGAACCGTGCTGCAGTGAACATGGATCTGCATATAGTTCATGACCCAGCTCTCATTCTTTAGGATATATCTTGTAGTGGGATTGCTGGGTCAAATGGTATTTTTTGTTTCCAACTTTTTAACAAAGTACCATACTGTTTTCCACAGTTTTGCACCATTTTATAGTTCCACCAGCAATATATGATAGTTTCAATTTCTCCACACACTCACCAGCATTTGTTATTTTCAGTCTTGTTGAACTTTGGTATTTTTGTTGGGGTAAAATGATAACTGATTGTTGTTTTAATTTGCATCTCTCTAATGGGAGCTCTAGGAGCTCTGGTAGCATAGTGCCTAAGGCACTTGACTGCTCACCAGAAGGCTGGCGGTTCAAACCC